AAAACCCCGAAAGCTTTGAGCATACAGATATCGATGCGATAAGAAATAGAGCAAAAAACTATGAAATAATAGAAAATTTATTATTCTATACGAAAACAACAAACGAAAATCTTGAGTATAAGCCAGTCATCCCAGCCTCGCTTCGATTAAGCATTTTGAAGGAGTTGCACGAAGAAAAAACAGCGGGCCACCTCGGGGTCAGAAAGACTTTAAAAAGGGTACGTGAGGCGGTATTTCCCGCAATTATACAAAATAGTAACGGCGTATGTCAGGTCCTGCAATCAATGTCAGTTAATAAATGATATTAATTACAGCCCGGCCGGGTACTTAAATAGCATTCGCGCTACATTTCCGAATGAAATTTTAGGCATAGATCTCCTTGGTTTCTTCCCCTAGAGCGAGTTAAATAAAAATCGTTTTCTTTTAGTAATAGTAGATCATTTTTCAAAATGGATAGAAATTGTTCCACTTAAACGCGCGTCAGCCAAAACAGTCGCAGATGCATCTTACTTACACAGATACATTTTAAAATACGGTGCACCGATAAAAGTCATTAGCGATAACGGAAAACATTCATTAGTCAAATATTTGAAAACATATGCAATGGACTTGGCATACGCCATATCAAAATGGTTCCGTATACACCGCAGGCTAACATAGCAGAAAGAGTTAATAAAACATAGTAAAAATAATTCGCAGTTACTTGAGCACACATCACAAGCGCTGGGGATGGCTACATGAATGAATTAGCTTATGCTTTAAGAACGGCACATCATGATACTACGGGAAAAACTCCAGCAGAATTATTTTTAGGCAGAAAGTTAATTTTGCCTTTAGATAAATTATTCTTTGTGCAACAAAGAGAGCAGGAGTTTAAACAAAAAGATGTGCAAAAGCTCATTGATCAGGTGCTTAAAAGCTCGGATACGGCAAGAAATAAGCAAAAAGTGTATTACGATAGAAAACGCCGTGAAGCAGATTTTAAAGTTGGGGATAAAGTATTGAAGCGGAAATTTTCTTTATCAAGTGCCCCAGACAATTTTACTGCAAAGTTAGCTCCAAAATTTGAAGGCCCCTATGTAATTCAGGAAATCAAAGGAGTCGTATTGTACCTTAAGAACGAGAGAGGGGAAATCTGTAAAGCAAGTCCCGACCAGGTGAAAAAATACTATAATCCAAATTATTTTGAAATCCTTAAAAGTTTCTTGCAGGACTCAAGCCTAAAAGAAATAGAAGGTCCAGAAAGAAGCAGAGAACTGAAGAGAGACCTAGCCCTTCTACAACCCAGACGACGGTACCAAAAAGAAAAAACGAAAATTTTCAGACTCCAGCATTTAAGAAAAACAAGAATGCAGAGTCACCGCATAAAGAAATCTTGGTAAAGAGGAAAACACCACCTACAACGTATCGCAGTAGAAATTATACATCAAGGAGAACGCTCCCAGGGCCAGAGAGTCAGGTGCAAACAAGGCCGCCGTTCCGGAAACTGAAAGACAGCAGGAGGAACGAAAATACCAGGAACAAGAAAGAAATTCAAGAAGGACTCCAGACCGGAGGACGTCAAGACCAGCCGTCCAATGGAAAAACGAAAAAGACAACAACCCGACGATTGCTACGCCAAGAGGCCAGCATGCAGAGGACGGAAAAGAAAAACTAATGTGGACGACACTCGGAGGTCAGTAAGGAGAAGATTGACGTCCATGAAACCTATAACGTGGAAACAGTTTTGCCAGAAAAGAATGACGGAGTTTCAATCATCGAAAACTCAAAGATAAGTTAAAATCTTCTATATTTTTTTTTCTTTTGTTCCGAAATGTTATGCGTAAGTACGAAGTTCTATGTTTTGACGAAAGTCAATATGTCTCGGTTGAGACTTAGTTTTGTTTTACTTTATTTAGCTAAGGCAAAAGTATATTTCCTTTAAGTGTAAAAGCTAAAAAACAAGCATTTTCCTGTTGGTCGAAAGACTAATTCTGTTATGTTAAAGCCAAAATTTGGCCGAAGATAAAAATAACTTCGTATTCTTGTATTAATAAGAATTTTACTTTCAGTGCCGCCAGCTTGGCGAAGAATGAGTAAAGTAAAAATTTATTTTCTCTTATTCATTTATGGTAAATTGTAAAAAGCCGTATGTATTAAACTTTTGTAAATGTATGTAAATACTTGAATGTTATATAAAAGAATTTAGTCTAGAAGCATAAAATTGTAGATGCTAAAAGTGAATGCTTAAAAGCAATGAAGTCAAAATTTAAGTAGTAAATTGTAGATAAAGTCATTCTTTAGAGCGAAAGCCGCATGTTTAAAGATGAATGAGGGGGAAGTTAGAATGAATGTGTTTTGTAGGGTTCTCCACCTACATTTGAATTTTTAAGAATATTAAAGTAGCTCATTGAGTTGTAGAATGTTCGAGTAAGGTGTGTCTATTTGGTCGTTGAATTCTAACAAATCATGGTGGTTTAGGGGAAGAGTTTGTAAGACTAAAACACGAATATTCCCGTTTGACACCACACATGGTGGAGAAACCAGGGTAGAAGTTAAATTCAATGCTTTGAATAAATTGAATGAATGTGAATTAAGCAATAACTAAGAAAAACGAATCGTTTAAAAACAAAAATTTATTGTGTCAAGAAAGTGTAAATTATAATGTATGTAGAAAGATACTGATACGTATTCCTTCCAGATGCTGGAAGGAAAGACCAAGATTGATTGATGAAGTCCAGGAAAAGTTGCTGTAAGAAGAAAGCTTTGTAATGAGCAACAGAATTTTAGTATACAATTGTTACATAAGATTTTTTTTGTGTAAACGAGGTTCTCGCCAGTTAGTTCAGAATTAGAGAAACTTACAACAGGTCGTTTGTAGGACCTGCTTCCAAGTTTTCCAAATTCTGGCAGCGGCAAATGTAGGGTTTATATTTATTTTAACTAACATTTATTTTAAGTTTAAACTATCTTTCCTGTCAAGCCTTACTTTCCCCTGGAACTGCCAATGCCAGAATATGTAAATTTGAGTAGAACGCGCAAGGATTCAAATTATCAGCGGAAGTATTCTGATTTAAATTAGGAAGGAAACAAGTTCGGTGTGTGATATTCTTACTGCACGAGCGCGGAGGTAGTTAGCGAGAATTGAAGAACCCCGCGTTGCGGCCTATGTGCTTGGCGGGAAGTAGTGTTAATCGTTCCAGTGAGCTTCAAGTCTGCTGAATTAGCAGCGGTATTGTAAAACGCGGTGAGTTAGTTATTTTAGAGAGCCTCGTAGTTAGAATCTTGTCTTTACTTTCTTTTCAGTTATTATTTTTATTTGGACTGCCAAGTTGGCACAAGTCTGTGAGCGTCAAGAGCACGCAATTGTAATTTATTACGTTGAATAAAAAGGGACTTAAACCCTTCACAAGGCTCTATCTTTTATACAAGTTTTCACAGTCACCTCTTGGTTGCGTGCAAGTTGGAGGAGCGGAACGTTATAATATATATATCCACTCTGTTACCCGGCTCAGTGATCTCAGTTTCTTTACTCTTATATGTTTGTAAATTGTGCATTCTTTGCTTTAAAATGATTGGATTATGTTGTTTTTATCTTCCGGTTAAGGTTTTTATGCCTTTAGTAAATCTGTATGCACTATTTTTAGAATTATTAACAATTTTAAAGTTGTTTAAGTGCCGCTAAGCCTTTTTTTATGGTGGCCATTGATTGTTTACATATGAAACAGCAGACTAGTGGATTTGTTGCCAATCTAGAAAACTTAGTTTTCGCGCAACAACAAAGATAACGCCTTCATTTATTATTGCCAATTAATTATGCCTAATCCTTTCTGGAAATTTTTCAAGGAAATAAGTGTTTAAGATTTACGTCGTAATTTTTAATACAGATGTTTTGAGTTTTTATGTATTTTTGACTTGTCGCGAAGTGAGACCTGAATTAATTGAATGAGAAATATTCAATCGTCTGTGAAAAACTGTTTCTTTTTTGTTTCATTTGCTTAATTTCTTTTATACATCATTCTAGCTTTATTATAATATTTGAATAGAACATGTGGCAACGATTAGATAATTCCATTCTTTAAATGATATAAATTTGTGCATTATGAGTTATAATATGAACGAAATATATACGTTAACTGTTATATAATTATTGGATTATATAACAGATTTTTTTTTTTTTTTTTTTTTTTTTTTTTTTTTTTTTTTTTTTTTTTTTTTTGTTTTTTTGGTTTTTTTTTTTTTTTTTGTTTTTTTTTTTTTTTTTTTTTTTTTTTTTTTTTTTTTTTTTTTTTTTTTTTTTTTTTTTTTTTTTTTTTTTTTTTGTTTTTTTTTTTTTTTTTTTTTTTTTTTTTTTTTTTTTAACTTAGTTTTCCGTTATATAATTATTATATAAGTTAATTGGTATATAATTATTAATACTGTTAAGTGAATCTAGCGCCAGAAGTGTCGCTATGGTAAACAATACTAGAGTGAATTTTAAAGAATGCATTTATTCTATTGTGGTTTATGCGCTGTCGGCGAAGTAGATTTAATTCAATCCAATAAGTTTAAATGAAATGCAAGAAAAAATGCGTATAATTTAATATTCCAATACAAGGAAGTCATGTGGTGTACACATCAGATTTTGTTACATTACTGCCACTGCAAATAATTGAATTTTCAAATATTTTCCGTTTACAGTGTCTCGGAAACAAAGTTTCACTAAATAGTTATATTATTTGATTTAATAATTTTCCTACACGTTTGGACGATTTAACCTCAACAACACTACCACGCTGAACCAGAAATTAAAAACGAAATGGAATTTTTATCTTAGTATTGTTATAGGGCTAGATTAATTTTATCTGACATTGACGTATTCGCATGTAAATAATAGAGATTTTTAACCCAGCTCATACAGATTTTTCACTGCATTTAACTTTTTCACTGCATTAAACCAAGTATTTAAATCAACAAACATATATCCGCATTAGTATAAATATCTAAAATGTTCTTGAATAACCAGAAAGCAAACAAGCACATAGCAGCAAAAAATGTTTTTTTATCTCGTTACCAATCTGCAATTATATGAAAATATTAAATTATAAAACGCATTTTTTTGACAAACAAAATATTATATATGCAGGTGAAATATGAAAACATTTCGAGTGGAGAACTTGGAATGTGTTTCATTAGTATTAAAGCCAGGTCTTCGGTATAGTCTTCTGCCTTAATGCGGCTAATTTGGAGGATCATGTTGTGGAGTTTTAACCTAGAAATAAAATAGAGTTATAAATTGAATTATAAATCTATATAAGAGCTATATAAGACATGATATATTTAAATAACCATAGCCACAGACTAATCCAAAATAAGCTTTTATGAGTTAAATTATAATTATTAATTTTATAGATTTTTCCAAGATTGCTTTTTTTTGCGGTGATAAAATTCGCTATTTTCATTTATTTGAAATTACATTAATTAATTATTTACAGTAATTATTATGAAATTAATAATTACTGTAAATAATTACAGTAATTATCATGAAATTACAGTAATTAATTTGAAATTACAGTGTTTAATAAATGAATTTTATTCTTCTTCTTTAACTCTAAGGGGATTCTAATATAAACACTTGACGATAGCAGATGACGCTTGATAGAAATTTTCAATATTCATAGCACAGTACCCACCGCTTATTAAATATCCCATCCGTTCCAAACACAATGAATTTATTAAGTGAAGTGGCTGAAATTGCCAGGTGACAATTTGTCATTGCATAGTGTTAAACAGTTTTAAATTTAACTAGTAAATTTGTCTAATTATCAATCTAATATTTAATACCTAAAACAATAGTTAAGAATGTAAGCTAAAATTTACCTAATTTTGAAATTTTGTCTATTAATTTTTCTGCAACAATACTTTTGTAACTAAATTCTGAGATAAATTTTTAAATTCTTCTATGGAATTAATATATCGGTATTTTTTTTTTTTTTGTATTGTTTATCAACAATTTTCAATTGCATTCAGAATTTCCTAAAACTGGTACTAGTTTTTCTGTTCACCTCCTTTTAATTCAAGAGCTATTCTTAATATATGCAGCGTTTTTTTTAAAATTCGATGCAGGATATAACGTTATCACTTTCTTTCGTAACATTTTCACTAACATTTTCAGTTTCTGTAGCCGCTTTCTGTAGCCGCTATTTCTATTCTGTATCTACTTCAACGGTTTCTATTCCTTTGACTTTTCTAGAAGCCATGAATAGTATAGTCCACCCTAGTAGATTGACTATATAATATCCATGGACTCTAGCATCATAGGCTTAGTTATCTGCTGCGAAATACTTTATTTTCACAAGACAAAGTGTTGTTAATGCTTTTTCGAACAAGGTCTTTTCGTTACTGATGTGCTTTTAAAATAGCCTGAATTAAAGGCTGAATGATAGAAGTGTCATTTGCAGGAAGAAACACTTATTACGTTCTCTTCAGAACAAGATCAGAGAGATCTCCAACACAATTATCTAACAGTAAAGCTATTTTTTCGTTTTTCATTTCTTTGTACCATTTGAATAAAAATACGTAAAAATCCAGTAAATCTTATTGTTGTAGTAACTTAGAGTTAAAATCGTGATTTCTTTCAAACATCGATGTTTTCTGCTTTTGATAATGACGAATGTCTTCTTAATTGTTGCCTTCATATTGCACGTTAACAAAACAGTAATTCTTTCTTCCAATTACGGAAAACTACCCGCAGTTTCACCTGCAAACTTTAATATGTGATCTGGTTTTGATCTCAGTCCAATTTATTCTTTTTAACAAATGACTGTGGCATGTACCAGGTTGTTCAATAAGTTCGCGGAACGAAAATGAAGAAACCAATTTTTATTTGTAAAAATGACTTTATTTTTCAACGTAGTTTCCCTCAACTTCAATACACTTATTTCAACGATCTTCTAATTTATGGATCCTTTGACTGTAGTGGTTTTTCGGCAGCTCTGCAAAATATCCCTCCACGGCAGCTATTACCTCTTCGTTTGAAGGAAATCGTTTTCTACGGAGATATTGTTTGAGGTGTGGGAAGAGCCAGAAGTCGGAGGGAGCTAAATCTGGCGAATAGGCTGGATGTTGCAACAATTCGTACTTCAATTCAGTTATTTTAGCAATGGTTTTTTGAGATGTGTGCGCAGGTGCGTTATCTTGGTGGAAAATGATTTTCTTCTTCTGTAATCCGGGTCTTCTTTCACGAATTTTTTCGTCTAATTGATTCAAAAGGTTACAATAATAATCTGAATTAATTGTTTTGCCAGTTTGAAAGTAATCTATAAACAAAATTCCTTTCGCATCCCAAAAAACTGATGCTAACACCTTCTTGGCTGATTTTTGCATACGAAACTCGCTTCGGCGCCGAAGAGCCGGGTTCACACCACTCCTTAGCCTCCTGTAAGCAGTTTGATTCAGGATCATGATGGTAGACCCAAGTCTCATCCATTGTGATAAATCGACGGATAAAGTCGCTTTTATTCTTCTTAAAACGCTCCAAATGTTGCTGGCAAAGTCGCATCCGAATGTGTTTTTACTGCATCGTTAGAGAATGCGGCACCCATTTTGCACAGAGTTTTTTGAAACCCGAATTAATACTCAAAATATTGCTGACTGTGCCCAAGGTAATCCCTAAAGCCTCCGTTAAATCTCTTTCAGTCAATCGACGGTCTTCCAATACCATATCTTATATTTTTCCGATGATTTCCGGTGTTGATGCTGTTTTTGGACGTCCCTCTCGCGGATCGTCTTCAAGGCTGGTACGACCACTTTTGAATAAACTAGCCCACTTGCAAACCATTGTTTTTGAAGGAGCAGATTCACCCAACACATTCATTCACCATTTCGGTATGAATTTCCATTGCCTTTAAACCTTTCTTTACAAAGAATTTGATAACTGCACGTTGCTCAATTTTATCCATACCTGAAAAAAGCCACAACACGTTAGATATAAAAGGCGATTAAACAATGAATAAATTAACAGATCGAAATGAAACTTTTGACATGTTCCTAAGAAAGAACAAATATGAAAATGGCGTCGAAGTTTTAGGTCTAATATTGAGGAATAGATGGCGCTCCGCGAACTTATTGAACAACTTTGTATTCCCTTAGCCAGAATCAGGTAAAATGTTTCTTATCCAGTTATTAGTCTCATGATGATCTACCTTTTGCTTCTCACCATACAGTTTCTGATGAACAACGCAATTTCTCTTTTCCCATTTTGCTAACCATCCATAAGTTGGTATAAATCTGTGTTCTGGTATTTTAGCGAAATCGACATGTTTTCGTGGTTGACTTCTTGCTTGATTGCTGCAAAACTGTCAAGTACCACTTCTGGTTGTTCATTTTTGCCAAAACCGAACCAACTGCTTATAGGATTGCAGAAAGCTTAAATATAGAAAAAAGAAAATTTTCAAGGTGTGATTTAAGTTATCGTTAACAAAAACTTCGTCAACCACATACAGAAACGTAAACGGACAGAGTAAAACTTATTGTGGGAAACGTAATTCGTACTTATTCATTGAAAACTCGCCTAGCAATGGCCCAATGGTGTGTAACGTTTAGCCGCATTCCCTTAGAAAGTCCTCCACGAAAGCATGCCTACTCTTAAGCAGATAACACTCGGGTGCTTTGTCATAATAAACATAAACCAAAAAAAAAAAAAAAATCAGTGAAAACTCACTATCGATTTTCTGGACCAAAACCCTTAAATCCCATACCTAGGTGTATAATTTGGAGGAAAGTAATAAAATAAGGAAGTAAGAATGTATTTCATGAACTGCCGGTATTCTATTTATTCTGACTGTTTCTCTGCTAGGTTGTAGAGTTGCGCGCCTCCAACCTGCACGCAACCAAGAGGTGACAGTTGAAACTGGAAAATAGACAGAGTCTTGTTAAGGGTTTAAGTCCCTTTTTATTCAACTTAAGAAATTACAATTGCGTGCTCTTGACGCTCACAACTACTACGCCGACCCGGTCTTTAAAATAAAAATAAGAACCTGAAAAGAAATAATAACAAGACTCTAACTACGAGGCTCTCTAAACGTAAACTAACCTCACCGCGTTTTACAATACCGCTGCTAATTCAGCAAACTTTGAATATCACGTTGAATATACAATTCTCCGAGTCAAGTACACAGGCCGAAACGCGGGTTCTTCAATTTCTGGCTAACTACCTCCCCTCCGCGCTCGTGAAGTAAGAACAGCACACCTCGAACTCGTTTCCATTCTATTTAACTCAGAATACTTCCGCTGATAATTTGAATCCTTGCGCGTTCTACTAAATTTACATACTCTGGCATTGGCAGTTCCAGGGAAAAGTAAGGCTTGACAAGAAAGATAGTTTAAACTTAAAATAAATGTTAGTTAAAATAAATATAAACCCTACAAGGTATATAACCAAAAAAACGAAGCAGCCCTGAGTGGCAGCAGGTGAGATGGTCCTGAATTATAATTAAGATGTATTCTAAATTACCTATTCCTGGAAATACAGGCGTATAATTTAAATCTGTTTATTTTCACGATTTTGTATTCATTTGAAATTATTTTGCAAGTTGTACTGAAAACTCTTAAGTGAAACAATGTTTATTGTAATGAAAACACGGGTTCGTGAGTTAAATATTCATTTATTATAAACATGTAAAGAATTCAAAATAATAATGAAAAAAAAATGAAAATAATGATGAAAAAAATTCATACGTACGTAATCCGACATTTAGCGACCAGGGAGCACTGAAAAGAAACAACAATTTCATTAGTTCAGTAGTTTATAGATGTACAGAATATATCATAGTTGAAATTAACACAATAATTAATAAACCCAACAGATGATAACTGAAACTAGGCAATTTTATTTGCTTTCGTTTGAAAATATAAAATAAGTATCTTAAAATTATTGCTGCTTTGATAAATTGATTTCCAGTGGCGTAAGTTCAGCTTGCCTTTCGGGAGGCCCAAGAATTCGCCACTTGAGGCGGTCCTGGAATTTGCGGCTTATCTTTATGTATAAACAAATGACTAAAAATATGTCGGAATTACATATAGGTAAATAAATTAAATCGCTGCATTTATTTTTGAAGAAAACCATTAAATTCAACGTTTTAAAATTATGTTAGTATTTTTTTTCCTTTTTTGTTTGAATTGTTTTAGTTTGAAATCCGGCATTTTATAGAATGCCTAAAACTAGACGACAATGTGTAAAACGATTCACATTTCATACATTTCCTAGGCGTTCTGTAGAATGCCAAATGAGAAATTAAGCAAAGTATGAAATACATCGAAGATTCGTATATAAACACAGCGGCGAAAGAAATTCGAGCTATGACCAGTAATGAACGCTATCATACAAAAGCAAATCGCCCCAAGAATTCCGCCTTTTCGTATAAAATTTATTTACAAAAATCATTTCTGTAAAAGGCGCGCCGTCCTATCCGCTCAAACACACCTAAAGAGAAGAATGGACAGATCCCGAATTGTTAATCGAAACTGAAGTGAGCAAAAATTGCTTCTGTACTAGACAGAGCTTTCAGAGGAATCACAAGATATTTCAACAGCTTCATTTCCTTCGTATGTCTTCTTTACTATATTGAAACATTCGAATGAATAATACGATACGCAATTAAATTATAATTAACAATAACATACGTAAGTAAGAATTGTTCAATGGTATAAAAGAAGAAGAGTTCCTCATTGACATAAACAAGGAAGAATTCCTCAAAGACACAGCATTAGAATTTTGGTGCTTTTTACCGCCTGAAAGGACAAAGCAAAGAGTTCCCAGGACGGTCGCGGTAGCTTCGAGTTTTGGAAGTTTATTCTAAAATTCGCTGTTAAGAACGCTGTTCCGAATGATTTAATATTACTGAGAATTTTTCTCAAGTGTTACTTGTGATGAGCCTAATTTTTCGAAATACGAATCGATTGAGGTGCGCCTAAGATCGAAAAATAAATAGGACAGTAAGGGAGCAAGCTGCAACAATTTCTGATGTTTTAATTGCATTCACGTTTATATGTATTATGTATAACTGCTGTTTTTACAGTGTAACTATTCATGCATCATATGCACCAAAAGCAAAAATTCGGCGATTTTGTTGGTTTTTGTACAAATACTTTTTGAAAACTATACATTCGTTAAAATTTTTTTCGGACTTGGGGCAAATACTAACAATAAAAGACAATCTTTGGCATAGTAACACTGAATGATATCAAGTGGTTTATAGTAAAATAAAGAAACACTTATTTAACCAATCAACATAACAGTTATTAATTTAGAAGTCAAACAGCAAAATCAGAGTTATATTTTCAAATTTCCACAGGACTAGTTTCCATGGTTTTACGGAGCCAGCATTCTCAGCTGCCTAAGTGCAAATGAATGAGATAAGATAAGATAAGAATGGCTGGACAGGAATTAAAATGCTGGCGCCATCTATTGATGAAACAAGAAAACTAAAACATAATATCCTTAAGGGCAGAAGGTAAACATGGATTGGAATTAGGGTCTTTAGCTAGAAGATAAAGATTTTTAGAATATGAAACGCCTCTAGAATATCTAATTCACCAATGAAAGATGATTTTTGAATAATTTCGGCTGCAGAAAAATGGAATATGTGGTTTTCGGACCAACAATGCTAGACAACAAATGACTTTTGTGATTCCATTTTTTAAATTTTATTTATCGAAATTTTAAGGCTCTCTAAGTTTGACCATTTTAAATTAAACCACGCTGGCAAGGAATCCCGTAAATACCGCAAGAATTCATATCCAGAATGGGGTATTTAAGTATGGAATTCGGAATTTTATTGATAGGAGAATAAACAAAAGTTAAATTTCTTATACGACCCGAAAGTTAATTTCCTGTAAAGTACGTGCAGTTTGATAGCTAATTGATGGAAAGAAAGGAATGACAATAGATATCTTATCATCTACTAAAACAAGAGTGTGCCTTTTGGTGTGTTGAGATCAGAACTCTTTTGGTTAATAACCTGCTTGGTTTATAATGTTAGCTCTTCACTCTCTTATCAATAAAATTCCGAGTTTCATACTTAAGGATTCCATTCCGGATATGAATTTCTGGGGTATTTACAGGATTCCTTGCCAGTGTGGTTAATTTATATTGGTCAAACTAAGACAGACTTAAAATTTCGCTTTAAGGAACATAATACATATATTAGGGAAAAGGAAACACAAAACTCCTCTGTTGACTAGCATTGTTGGTCCTAAAATTACACATTCCATTTTTCTGCGGCCAAAATTATTCAAAAACCATCTTCCATTGGTGAATTAGATTTTCTATAGCGTTTCACATTCAAAAAAAAAAAAAAATCTTTCTGTTCTAGTTAACGACCCTAATTCCAAGTCCCATTTACCTTCAGATTTTAAAGAAATTATGTTTTAGTTTTCTGGTTTCATCAATAGATGGCGCCACCACCTTAACTCCTGCCCTGTCATTCTTACCATTATATCTTATCTCGTTCATTTGCTGACGGTGGTGATTCGGTAAAACCATCAAAACTAGCCCTGTGAAAATTTGCAAATATAACTCTGATTTTTGCTGTTTGACTTCTAAATTAATGTTTGTTCGACGTGTTATTTTACCTTACTTACAAAAGTCACTGTTCAGCAGAACTTCAGTTAAAACATACAAATCATAGGTTGTTTCCCCTCATATATTTAAAGCGGTGACAATTAAGCACTGCGCCCATTCTTCTTCATCAGAGTTGCTGTAGGCAACCCCCGCAAGCTAAGAAAAGCCCCTTTTATGTTTTAGAACTTGTATCTCTAATTCAAAATCCTTTTCTTCTTACATTTATCGTTTATTTTTCTTTTTGGACTTTAACATTTTTCTTTACCTTCATCTTCTGATTTTCATTTCTCATTATCTCCCATATTTTTTTTTGAAAAATGCTTCTTTTTCTGATTTTTCAAGGTGACAAATCGAAAAAAGTCACATATTGGAATACATACTGAAATTCAAGGCTAAGAAATTTCTGTGACTTACTTTTAGCAGCTGCTACATAGGTCACATATGCAGCAAGCATGACTGCGGATACAATGTAATTCGAGATCATCATGAAAGCAAAGTTTTACCACTTTTTCTTTCGAAGTAATTTTGCACTTGACTCGAAGGAAGCCAAACAGTTGCCGCTACTCCTACTGTTACTCCTTATATACCAATCGCCAAGGACAAAATGCGTTTCTAAACCAGAAACAAAAAAACAAAAAAAAAAAAAAAAGTAATTGTAATAAGCAATATTGATGTTTCATACCGAATTTGTGTCACTCTGACAACTGAATCGTCTTTTTCCTAATAAACAACATTTTCGTAAGCCATAAATCAACCATTAAAAACATTTTTGTGGTCTTAAGCACATTTGTTCAAACATCCCAAAATAAGAATCTTTTCCGAAGAATTTATTCTGTTCTCTCTATTATAGCTTTATTGTTAACTAAATATGGCGTTTGTTCTGAACACACAGTTTAATAGAATATATATTTGTAGAAAGCAATACAAAAATAAGTATCAATAGGAGAGTAAGTATGCATTTAAAACGTGCTTTTAGTTCAGCAGTTCCTAAATCACGGTTATTGACTGACTTCAGTCAGAAATACATCATGTCCATAAATTAAGGATAATGCAAAATCAGGCAAAGGAAGAGTTAGAAGCAAAACAAATTTGACTTATTTGTAAAACTTATTTATTAAACAAAAGGTAAAGAGCAAAAAAAGATGCTATATGTTTGATATTATTAAAAAAAATAGTGTTTTTCTTCCTGGAGCAATTAAAAAAAAAAAAAATATTACTGGTTGGAATGATGTTAATTACATTGATGTCCCCAACGATGCAATCGTTCGTACAACGCCTAGGCATGCAGAGTATCAAATTATCGATTTGATCTTGGGGATTTGCACCACTCAAAAGCAACGCTCTCCTAAGTTCCGGTAACATGTAGGAGGAGGTTGACGGCTACAACTCGTCGCCAAGCATGCCCACACGTGCTGTCTGGATTCAAGTCCGGTGAAAATGCTGGCAAGTCCATACGGGTGATATCCTCCGATTGAAAGCATTCGCTTACGATGTTTGCACGGTGAGGACGGGCGTTGTCGTCCATAAACACAAATTGTGCGCCCATGGCGCCCCGAAACAAACGTACATGTTGTTCCAGAATGACGTCCCTATGGATTTGGCTTGTCATGGTTCCCATTTGAACATGCAGGTCAGTTCTGGAACCCAGAATACTTCCACCCCAAACGAGCACTCCTGCAACATCGTAACGGTGTCGTTCAGTGAAGATTTCTTGGTGGTAACGGGTACCTGGAGCTCTCCATATGAAAGTCCGGCCAGAATCAGAATGCAAGCTAAACCTGGACTTGTCAGAAAACATCACACAAGCCCACTGTTGCGGTGTCCACCATACATGCTCTCTACTCCAGGCTAACCGCAGACGACAGTGAGTTGCATTAAGTGGAACGCATCTGACAAGTCTACGAGCATATAGACCAATCTGCCCTAAGCGTCTGTACACGGTCTGCCTTTAAATTGTCGTACAAGTGGCTGAAGAGAGCTGGCGAGACAGGTCTGAGGCTGTGCTCCGCCTGTTTCTTTTGGCAGTAACTGCCAATATACCGGTCCTCATTCGGCGTTGTACTCTGGGGCGACTGTGCTGTAACGTCTACTCACATTAACCATCATCTTGAAATCGTTGCCAAAGCCTGCAGATGACACTCTCCGGGCAATTCCAAGTCGTCTGATACTTCCAGTTGGGTACGCCCACATTCCAGACGGCCGATAATTCTAACCCACGTAAAAAAATCATCCAAATGCGTCCTTTGTGTCATAACTATTCGGTTATTGCACTGAATTGCTTATAAAGCGCCTGTGAACAATTTTATTTCTTTGCCTGTATTCCTTATATATCACTCTCTTACACTCTCGTCATTGTGACGTACCATCGGTATCATCTGGTTACTTCTTGAAATTTGCATATGATTCTTGAAAATGAGTGTAGTGATTTTACAGGTGATATATTTACAGGGGTTGGACAAAAATATGGAAACACCTTTAAAAAAACATGTTTCTTTGCATAATGTGGTGTAGGAAAGGCATCCAAAACAGCTTGCAGACTTCTCGGAATGGATAAATACAGTTCCTGTATGTTTGCCAAGGGAATATTATACCATTCTTCTGCAAAACGGTGGCAAGTTCAGATAACGATGTTGGCGGTGGATAACGATAACGCACTTTCCGTTCCAATGTAGACCACAAACTTCGATAATATTCAGTCTGTGACTGTGGTGGGGCCAGGGAAGATGGGACAACTCATACTCGTGCTCAGAGAACCAGTCCTTGACAATGTGAGCTGTGTGAACAGGGGCTTCGTCGTCTTGGAAAACACCATCACCATTGGGGAACAAAGTTTGTACCATGGGATTAACTTGATCGGCCAAAATGTTCGCATAAGTCTTGGCAGTCATGTGCCCTGACACAGTTATCATGGGGCTAGTAGAGAACCACGATATGGCTGCCCAAACCACAACAGAACCCCCGCCATGTTTCACTCTTGGCAACAAGCAGTCTGTATTATAGGCTTGAGATGGCGTTCTCCAGCCCTTAATTGCCCTTAATGATCGTCTGTCACGATCACACAGGACACACTTTCGTCCGCGCTGGGATTTAGCAGATGATGTTTTTCCGCTTTTCAAATATGCGGAATAAATCTTCGATACAGTACCTCTTGAAACACTAAACACCTCGGCTGTACCTTGCTTACGGAAGCACCTACCATACGTGCTCCAACAATTTGCCCACGTTCGAAGTCTGTTAACTCTGACATAATCAATGACAACCTCACATAACAGTACTCCGACAACAACTAAACTGTTTAGCACATTACGAAGTTGTATAGGTGCTCGTGTCAAATCGCCAGCGCCACCTACATATTTCATTAAATCAATCTTTTCTTTTCAAATATGCATTTCACAAGGTGTTTCCATATTTTTGTCCATCCACTGTATTTTAAAGTTCGATTTCCGCGTGACTCCGAATTATCCTTAATTTATGGACATGAGTGTAATTTAGAATACATGGCCTAAAGGAGTCAACAAATTATCTTGCAATAAAGGTCATTAGTACTTAACGTGAAATCAAATTACTGAAATGTGTATCAGTGATTCCGCCAGTAATCTCATCAGGTAGTATGCTAACTTTGAGGTATATTTATTGAAGTTTAACGCACTTCTTAATGTTTGTTATCTTGAATATAGTCTGAATTTTCACCTACTTGTTATATTTTCTAGTATAATTATTCAAATACGGGTGTTAATTAATTATATTTTAAAATTGATACAATTTTTAACTCGTTCCGTACAATTTAACCTTCGTAATTTTTAACATAATATAATAACGAAATGTACAGGCGCGGTGAGATAGCTTCCGCAAAGAAGGTTTAGGGTTGCCATAAAATAGCAAGGGAAGGCAGGGTTGCCACATTTGGCGATAAAATTGGCGATACCATGGAACCGATGGAGAATCTTCTGGAACGAATTCTTACCAGTTTAACCCAGAATGTTCTCGAACACAATCCGAAAGCTATATAAACCCTGCCGGTCCGCAGTTAGTTAGTGTGCGAGATATTGTGTCTCATCTAGTTAGTCCGTGCCGAGACGATCGAGTTGACAGCCGGCCAGCGAGTGCCGAGTTGGTCGTCGAGTGCATCTTAGTGTATCGCGGTTAGTGCATCGTCGAGAGAGTGTGTTAAGCTTCGGGAACGACTGAACCGAAGAGTCGGGAGCTGTGCTCTGTGTGTCGTCAAGTGCATCGCGAGTTGTAGCGTGGAGAGTCTCGAGGGTACGAAGAACGACCGAGCAGTGTCGGGAGCTGTACTCTGGTGCTTTGCAATGAAGCAGTCTCCACCGTTATTGCTGGTCAGTGTGAAGGCTGTGTAGCTGATTTTTCCAGGGTGTTTATTGTAAATCTTCGACGACTGTAAAAGTGTTTTGGAGCTGTCTTGATTAATTTTGGTAAATAAAGTGTGTTTCGATACTTCATCAAGTGTCGTCGTTATTCACTCCAAATGCACACGAACCCCGTACGAACGTGAAGGAAGAAAAAAACGTAACAATATAATTTTAAATTAATTATGATATTTTACCACTGTACACATCATCTTTATTTAATGTCAGATGTAATTTTTTTACTTTTTTAACAATTTTTCTTTCATAATTTCCTACGAACTCTTAATTTTAGCTTATTTACTATATTTTACCACTATACACGTGATTCTTTATTTAATTTTTGATTTCTTTTTTTTTTTTTTTTTTATTATTTTTTCCATATAATTTCCTATGACCTTTCACAGTTTTCTGCTTTTATTTTCAACTTTAATGGCTGATTCGGAAGAGCTTTACTGAATTTTAGAAGTAAATTTTTTATTTCTACCGTATATTTTAAGCCTTTTAATTTCATACATTGTTCTGAATTTTAAATAATTTATTAGATTTTTCACGCAATATACATGATTTTTATTTAATTTTAAATGCAATTTTTTATTTCCTTTTATATTCTTAATATTTTCAAATTTTTCTGCAATTTGAGATTTTATGACAAATTTTAATTTGCTTTTTATAATTTGTAATCGTAATAATGTTCATGATTTTACTTATTTCAATATTTCCCTTAATTCTAGATGCATGTTTAACTTTCTTAAACATTAATTCAGAAGTCAAACAACAAAAATCAGCGTTATACCTACAAAATTTTCACAGGACTAGTTTCGATGGTTTTACCGAACATCATCTTCAGCTGCAAAACCGCAAATGAACAGATAGGAAATAATGATTAGATAAGATAAGAAAGCCTGGACAGATAAGCACGTGGCGCCATCTATTGATGAAACAAGAAAATTAAAACATAATTTCTTTAAAGGCTGAAGGTAAAGATGGATTGTAATTAGGGTCGTTAACTAGTACAGAAAGATTTTTTTTAACGTGAAATGCTTCTAGAAAATCTAATTCACCAATGGATGATGTTTTTTGAATAATTTTGACTGTGGAAAAATTGGAAAGTGTGATTTTTGACCAACAATGCTGGGCAACAACGAGACTTCTGTGTTTCCTTTTGCCTAACATATGCCTCATGTTCATTAATGTGAAATTTTAAGGCTCTCTTAGTTTGACCAAATGTAAATTTATCCACACTGACAAGAATTCCTGTAAATACCCCAGGATTCATATCCGGAATGTGGTCCTTGAGTATGGAACTCAGAATATTATTGATAGGAGAATAAACGACCCAAAAGTTAAATTTCTGTAAAATACGTGCTATTTTAAAACTTATTGATGGGAAAGGAAGGCAATGAACAGTAGAATTCTTGTAATCTCCTAAAAAGAGTGTGGCTTTTAAGATTGAGATGAAATTTTTTAACTCTTGATTAGTGTTGGGTGAAAAGCCCCTGTCAATAGCTACTGCTTTTAAATAATTTTAGTTCTTCATCAGGGCTAGTTTGGAGGAGCAAACTTGAAGAGCACGGAAACATAGGAATAAATGAAGCTAACTTTTGTTTGGTCGGATGACATGATTTAAAGTGTGGTGGAAGGCAAACGGATGAGGTTTTACCGTAAACTGTAGTACTGAAGTTGGATGTGTTACGTGTGACCAGAATGTCGAGAAACGGAAGAGAATTGCAAGTCTCAAGTTCAAAAGTGAACTGAATAGCAGGATCAATAGAATTCATTGTTGAAAGAACTTTATTTAAATCATCTTATTACCTTCAAACAGGGTAAAAGTATCGTCTACGTAGCGGAACCATGCCGGGAAGTTTAAGTTTCAAACATTTTGATTCATAATAATGCATGTAGATATCAGCCAGGATGGGACTGAGGGGACTTCCCATGGCTAATCCCTCATTTTGCTTGTATATTTATTTTGGAAACAAATGTGTTTGTTTCAAACAGAGTTGAGTGAGAGAAATTAGCTCATCAATTTCGATGCAAGAGAAATGAAATTCGCGAAAGTCTGGTTTCTAGACATCTTAATGCACCCTCCCACTGGGACATTGGTGAATAATGATTTTACATCAAAGAAACCATGAGTAAATTACTAGGAGAAATGTTTTTTAACCTTTTTTACAAACTCTATTGAAATTTTTTATGGTGTAAATGTTATTGTCTAATAGAGTGGAAAATCTAGAAACTAATATTTAGCTAAAGGATACGAGGCATACCACTAATTTGATACAATAGGGCGGAAAGGAATACCACTTTTATGAATTTTGGGAAGAGCATATAATCTGGCACAATTCGCAACAGATGGGATAACGAATGTTTTAAGTTGCTTGAAATGATTTTGTGAAGATTTGATCGCAGTTTTTATTTTGGATAAGTCCGAAGGTGAAGGATCTTTAGGGATCGGATTATATGGTCCTTCGTTTAAGAGTTTAGTGACACCATCGATGTAAGTGTTCTTCCATGACGACTATCTGGCCACCTTTGTCGGCTTTGAAATGATAATATCCGGGTTAGAATGAATTTCGCGCATTGTAGCTCTTTCTCTCTCGCAGTTAGATTTGGTTTCAAAGGTTTATTAATTGAATTATGAGCGATAAGATGCCTAATCATTTCTTTCTGTGAATCTGAAACTTTACTGAACTTGAAAGCTTTTTTCGATAGGAGCCAAAATCTTTGGAATCGAGAGGGTTTACAGGTTTGTGAGAAGTTAAATTATATTTAGAATTCTCTCTTGTTCTTCTGAAAGACTAACATTAGAAATATTACTATTGGCTTGATGTTTACAATGGGAAGATTTTTTGAACTAGTTGAACTGGAAGACTGTAAAAGAAGTTTTTTTTCGAATTTAACTGCAAGGTGTTTTTTATGACGGTTAAACTACATTCTTGCTCCGTTCTAGACCAAGACTTTTGCTCAAGGCCAGTGAATTTTGGATATATTTAGCGAGTTCCAGATGAAGCTTATAGAGTTCATGTTCAACTTTGGACAATTGTTGACGTGTATCCCTTATTCACGGCCAAAGTAAGGCAAGCTTGCAATTTAACATAATTCTTGAAACGCGACTCGAAAGTTTTTTGATTAGTTTTTGATTGAATAAAATTGGGGATCAATTTTTTACATTTACATTTAAGTAAAAAGTCAAGATGATTCAGGAATTTTTGCCGTTTCAGGCGTAATTTAGTGAAACGATTAACGATGAAGGCATGATAAACAATGCAGAAATCAAACTAAATTAACTGAGCAATAATAAGTACACACAAAACACAGAAAAATCCCTCACTGAAATGAATAGAAAAAAAAAACGTTTGTAAGCAAAATGCATGAAATCAGACAAGCAAAGCACAATATCCAAATGTACAAAACATAAACATAACTTGAAAAATTGCAAAAAATGTACTCACCGAAACTCCTACAATCACAAAATGGCGGCCACACCACGTGCAAAAAAGAAAGCAAAATGTAAGCCTGTTTGGGGCTTCTATAATTAAGACACAATAACACGCCGAATAAATACTAATTCAGAAGTCAACAACAAAAATCAGCGTTATATACCTACAAAATTTTCACAGGACTAGTTTTCGATGGTTTTACCGAACCATCATCTTCAGCTGCAAAACCGCAAATGAACAAGATAGGAATAATGATTAGATAAGATAAGAAAGCCTGGACAAGAATAAGCACGTGGCGCCATCTGTTGGCGAAACCAGAACTAAACAAATTTCTCTAAAAGCCGAAGGCAAATTTGGATTGGAATTAGGATCGTTAACTAGAACAGAAAGATTTTTATGATGTGAAACGCGTCTAGAAAATCTAATTCACCAATGGAAGATGTTTTTTTGAATAAGTTTGGCTTCAGAAAAATTGTAAAACGTGATTTTCGGACCAACAATGCTGGACAATAGAGGACCTTCTGCGTTTCCTTTTTCCTAATATATGCGTTATGTTCCTTCACGCGAAATTTTAAGGCTCTGTCTTAGTTTGACCAATGTAAGTTAAACCGCACTTGGCAAGGAATCCTGTAAATACCCCAGGTATTCATATTCGGCATGGGGTCCTTGAGTATAGAAGTTGGAATTTTATTGATGGGAGAAAAAACAACCCGAAAGTTAAATTTCTGCAAAATATGTGCAACTTTATAGCTAATTGATGGAAAGAAGGGAATGACAACAGAATTTTTATAATCTCCTAAAATAAGAAATTTTGTTGTTTGACTTCTGAATTAGTATTTATTCGGCGTGTTATTGTGTCTTTCTTAAACATATTGGCATTTTAAAATTAAGTATTTAACATTCCGGCTGTTAGTTATCATTCATCAGAATCGTTGTTAATTTATCTATATTTTATATTTGCATTTTGATTTACTACTTGTACAATTTTCATATTGCAGTAGATTTACCATGATTCAATCTAGTATTTTACGTCATTATTAATTTCACTCGCATTTTTCACTTTAATAACTACCTACCTATTCAGATATTTCCTTACGATTTTTCAAATCGCTTACATTTGATTGCATATTCGATTACATTTCGATGTTAGCAATGTTTAGTTTCTAATCCAGTTGTCCCTAATAAAGAACTTTATATATTCTGAATTTTTAGAATGTAATTTCAACTTTCATCCATAATTTAAGGAAAATATTTACTGTTTTATACATCCGTACACAAATCTTTCTTATTTTACATATAATTGAAAATTCTATAAGTGGCAGACTTACACGAAGACCGATATGTGTATAGCAGTATCATATTTAATATCGTATAAGAATTCATATTATCCCTTTGATAAAATAATTAACAAATTAGAAATATAAAATACACAAAATTGGAATATTAATTGTCTTTTACTACTTTTCCTTAGAAGTCCTGAATTAAGTGAAAATATTTGTTTAGAAAAATGCTGAATGTATGAAAAATGGATGTGATTACATAAAATGTGATTAATTTTTGAATAGTTGAATGTATTTTTGGTACTTTTCTGCTATCGAGACGTGCATAACACGCATATACGTACATTTCTGAACCCAGTCCCAATAACAGCAGAGTACCGTACCTTGAACATTTTAGTCTATGCTCTATATATTATATAGGTTATCCATATTTTATTCTGGTTCATATTGTGTAACTGCACTATTATGTGAAATTTATGGATATTGAGAGTATATATGAATATCGAATATTGGACTTAAAGTAATGGCCCACCAGCGGCCGAGCGGTAAAGTCGCTGAACACTGGTAGTTCGGTTCGAGGTTCGAATCCCGCGAACGGGCTGGCTGCATGGACGTTTTCGTGGTTTTCCCCATGTGTAACGTGTATACGAGCCAGTTTCCCTTAGAAAGTCCTCCACGAAGGCATCCCTCCTCTTAGGCAGATAGCCCTAGTGTGCTTTGCCATAATTAAATACACACACACACTTAAAGTAATGTTACACAGTAAATGTATGAGTATAAAATTTACGTGATTCGATGCAATAGTTTTCATATGCGAAATATAAACTTCTGTTTTCGAAAAAAAAAAAAAAAAAAAAAAAAAAACAAAAATATGTCAAATCATGTAATAAATCTAGTGAGTTAACATGTCTTCGAATTCGACTGAAGTATGAAAATAGCCAAAATTTTCTATAGGAATTGAGATTTTGAAAATATTTTTATATTTTTGAAGCTATTTCATAGTATGTGAAGTCTACAAAACTTTTTTGACATATCTTAATTTTTCATAAATTTTCATGAGAGATGAAAAACACCGGATTTCTTCTTGAAAGTTTTAGCATCATTCTGGTAGC